GAGAGTATAGTAGGTCTCAACATATATTTAACCAAACGATTTCAAGTATGCAAGATATGCATACTTGGCAGAGAATGACAGAGAGAAATCAAGCAAGCGATTCCCCTTCATTTTTCTTTATCTGTCTCAGTTGCTGTTGTATACTCCCATAGTCACACTCAATATCTGGCATATGGTTGGCATGCAAGGTACAGGAAATAAATGAATAAATACATGCAGCTAATACATGACTGGGCCAGTATTTTAAGCTATGCTGTTCTGATTACAAGCCTGTGACCCACAGCTAAACTGTACTGACTTCTCTCATTTGTCTAAGTAATTGTGGTAATGTTCTTAGGTATCATTCTTTGATCATTGCTGTACATTTTTCTGGACTGTCATTGTCTGGGTTGTATTTTTTTCACCAAATGCCTGCAGTTTTCTCACCCGGTACTTGCCTCAGGGTAAGGTCATTCCTTATATAGCACTGTATAAGGTGCCTCAGAGCACCCTCCCCGCCAAAGAGTTCTGATCCTCAGGGTCTATCTCATTATGTGCAATCAGGACATTCATTTTATAATGATCTTCATTCATAGAGATGTTCAAAGTTGTGCGCCAGGACATACAATTAATGCTAGGATTGGTCCCAGACCCTAATCAACTTAGTCCCTTCACATTTTTATAAACAAAGTAAATCTTCTCTCTCCCAGTCGATATTCTAATTCTACAGTGCCTGACAAAGTCAATCATTTTGATTCCTTACCCTAGTCATATTTCATAATCTAAATGTAGCAAGATTTGCAGAGAAGGAAAGTGAATAGCCTAATGAACTTAGAAGTCACAAATTTTACTTTCCTCACCTTTATTGAGTCCTTTTTGCTATCTGAGCACACAGAGTATTTAACAGTGGGAACACAGGCCATTTTCCAACCCACCTTCACTTTTCAGAGATGCTACCTCAATTTCAATTTTGTGCATTAGCTTTCCACTCTGCCTCTCCTGTCCCTCCACACGACATCACTGACTTTCCCTGAAAACCTGTAATCTGGTCCACCTGCATTTTCATGTACAGTATTTGGACTGTAGCAAAGGATCCATTATGAAAATGACAGAACTTCCAGAAAGAGTTACGACTTCACTGCTTAACAAGCTTGTGAATTTATCGAGGAGCCAGTGAGGTAGAGAAGCAGAACAGGAAAAAGAAAACACACAAAGGGGAGCTTGACTTGGGCTTTGCACCCTCCTTCTACTACTTTTTGAGGGTAGTTTTAACAGATCCTCCTGAATGTATGTGCTTGCTCTGTAACTAACTACGTTTTCATAGCACAAGGCAGGATTTGGGCCTTTTTACCTAAACTGAGTAGTTCTGGGGTTGATCATGTTGATGGCAATAACACCTATCACTTATTGAGAGGTCAGTAGGTACTAGCAGTATGCTAGGTCTTTGCATATGTGATTTTATTCAATCCTCACAACTCCTTTATACAGCATCTCCACTTCCATCTTCTAAGGACTTCCCATTGCCTTTAGGATAAAGTCCAAATATCTTAACATAGTTTATCAGACCCTTTGAGACTCCATTAACCCCTGCCTCTCTCCACCTCATCTTACACTACTCTGCTCTTTTCTGAAATATCCTGGCCTTATCTAAGCTCAAACAGATCTGTTCTTCTTGTATTTTGTGCTTTTTCTTGCCTTGGGCCTTTAAATATGTTCCCTGTCACCACATTTTTTCCACTCTTCACCTGGTAACTCATACCTGCTGTTAAGGCCTTGACACATTTTTCTGAGAAAGGCTGTCTCCAATCCCCTTCATTAGGTAGGGTTCTGTTCCTGCTTGTTTCCATGGCACACTCTACTCCCTCTTTTGTAATGCAATGCTTGAAGTGGCTTTCTAAATAGGCACCTTTTCTGTTACATGTAACCTTTGTGAAGGCTGGCAGCTTGCCTTCTAACTCACAATTGTTCCTCTAGCATCTAGCTGAATGCCTGACATGGAAACAGACCCTGAATAAATGAATCAAAATCAACTCTATGCAAAATCTGTCTGTGAATATTCCCATTACTTGGATGAGGAAACAGGGTAAAAGGGGTTAAATAACTTGCCTAAGATTGCACTGTTAGCAAAGGGAGAAGCTGAGCTTTGAAGTCAAGGCTGATTCCCAAGCCCTTGGTCACAATCACTCTATAACATAGCCTTCTCAAAATTCCTTGGAGCTATACAGAAAGAAGAAATAAATTAGTATAGAATATTTATCTCAGAGAAAAACTGGGCAGCAAAATCTGCCCAGGATTCAGGGAGGTGATCTTTCTCCCATCTGATTTCAGACCACAGGAAAAAATCTGGGTGATTTTGCATCATTCTGCACTCTGGGTGTGATGGTGTGCCTCCCTGAAAGAGGGTTTCTGTCTCACATCTGCAGGTGGTAGTGGATGACAGGCAACCTATAGCTTTATCTTTTGGTTCTTTCTACAGATCTATAGGGAAAAAAGAGAAAATGAGTTTCTCATTCCCGGAGAAGTTGCCCAGGCAACAAAGAGAGCTAGAGCAGTAGACCACCCAGCTGAGACATGGTTCAGCACCCGCACATCCTCCCTAACCAATGCTCACTTTGGGGATCAGCCTGCTGTGTTCACATACCCTTTTAATAAGGCACCACGAAGAGGCTTACCTGGACACAGTATGCAAAAACTTACCCATGGACAGCCAAAACAATAGCTCAGAATTCCTGCTATTTGTCTGATGAGAAGCTCAATGTTTACTCTTTAGACTAAGCTAGAATAGTTACCCTACAGAAAAATAGCTTGGTTGTTTCAATTTTGTGATTCATCATAAGAAAAAAAAGTTTCCCACTGAATTAAACATTTATTTCTTTTAAAAAAAAATAAAACCCTTAGAACAATTTGCATATAATGGCAGCCCTGACACAGCCCTGCTATTTAACAGCTGTGTGATGTATGATAATTTATTTAACATCTTAATCATGAATTTGTTCATCTATAAAATGGGTTTATAAATATAAGTAATTACCAAAGATATTCTTGTGAGAGGTGAGAAAATGCATGTAAAGTGCATAATTTATGGCATATAACTAGCATTTAAATGAGGGAAATAGTAATTATGAGGGATTATTTGGGTTTCTGAAAAGGCAGACAGGAAAGATTACATTCTCTTCCTTTGTGTCTATTTGTTGGCTTAAGTGTAGTGCCAAGAGCAACTGGTATCATATTTGTTCCTGTAGTAACTTGCAACACCTCCTGCCTCATGCTGTCTTTGCCATACACTAGAAAGCCTTTACCTGGCCTAACACAGTGTGAGGTGCACTGTGCATGCCCAAGAAATGCTTGCTGAATCTGTCAGCATTGGGGTGCACAGTTCAAAGCACAACAGGAGCTGGATTTTTTAAGGAAATGGCATCCTCACAAGAGTCATTAAATGAGTTCTTCAGGGAGGGTGGTAACAACATGCCACTGGATTACTTTGTTCAAAAGTACTTTGTGCCTGAGTTACCCTTGGCTACATAACTGCATGACTGTCTGTCCCTACTGGATAATTATGCTGCACAGGGCTTGCTGGTATGCACGTGTGTGGAAGAAACAGGCTGGCCACAAGGAGAGAACCCCAGTGTAGGGTGAAGCTCCCACCAGCCTGCTCCCCACCTCTACTACACTATTGTATCCTATCATGTTCTGTGTGGGTGGGGGGGTGTGTCTTTGTGTATTGGGGAGAAATGGGTAGATACATCTGTGTACCCATTCACCTTTAAAAACATGTCCAAATCTCATTTACTTCTATTAGAAAATTAATCTTCAGGTATAACTTCATTTTCAGAAAGTATTTTATCCTTTGATTACCAAAACCTCTTTGGAGGGAGTTAAAATGAAAAGTGTATAAAGGACTACTTCTCAAAATTAAACTATTTCTGAACAAAGCAAATTAGCCTTTTCTAGGATACAGAGTACAATTTATTGCTCTGGTCTTTGTTCTTGAGTAAAAATTTCTAGAGAGGAAAACCTAGAATAAATAATCTCAAAGTGCTAATTTGCAAAACTAATGCTGGTGGCTCATTAATATTTGTAAATCAGCTATATTTTGCTATATTGAAAAATAAACCCTATGAATTGCTAATTAATAAAAGATATCATGTCTTATTAACATTCATATAGTAATTACCAAAATCACAAATCTATCTGCTAAGTAGTCAGCAAACAAGACAAATGACTGCTTTCAGTTAAATAGATTATCAAATGCCTTTGGGAGTACAATCTAATAGCCCCAACTACACCATGAATCAGGCAGCCACTCCTTTTGCCACGTGGATGGGCAGCAATGATCCCATCTCCCGCAGGAAACAAGATGGAGCCCTGCAGATGGTAGCACGTCACCCTCACTAGAGAGCACACTCATGCCAATGTCAATGTGGCTCATGGACTTTTCCCTTACAACCTTTGTGAACTGGTATCTTAAAAAGACACAAAAGATCCAAAAGATGTCATGTAAACACAACCTCACCAGCAGCTTATTTGTGAGACTTCTCAGGTCCCAACACAGGGCAGAAAGTCATCTTCCTGTAACATTCTATGTCATTTCATCTCTACTTCTCTTTGACATTCATTATGTGTACAGTAAGTCCCTGATTTATGAACATTCGAGTTGAGAACTTTCACAGGTATACTGTATAAGATTCACAGATATACTGTGTAAGACTTACTTTGTTGGATTATAAATGAATCCAACTTATGAATATTCTCCTGGAACGAAACTCATTTGTAAGTCGGGTTCTTGCTGTGCACATTTCACATCTATACCTTTAGACAGGAGTCTTAAGAGCAGAGATCGTGTCTTACTAGTTTATCAAGTACAACAACAACAAATAATAATAATAATAATAATAATAATAATAATAATAGTGATAATAACTGCCTACCATTTCTTGTGACTATGTGTGCCAGGCACTCGGATGAGGGCTTTAATTTACTGAACTTTTAATTCTTTAAATTGTGCCATTTGATTTTCACAGAAGCTGCTAGACAAAAATACATCTTTACTTCACACATGAAGTAACCGAGGCACAAAGAGTTTGGATGACAGACATGGAATTCAATTCTAGGTATGAAAGATTCTAAAGCCCATTCCCTGAAACATTATGCTAAATGGTACCTATCTTATACAATGCTTAGGGCCAAGTACATAGCAGACATTGATACATGTTGGTAGAATGAATGAATATCTTAATATCAGTTCGTTCCTGCAGCTCCTTGGAAGTTAGGGTTACACGTGCAGTTTCTGTTCTCCTGTGTATTTTTTTCCCCAAGAGGACATGATGCCAAGGGTCATGATTAGTAGTATCCAAAAATATCAACAGCCACTTCCCTTACGTTTAAAAAAATACATAAATAAACACTTCTCCAGGGCTCTAGTTCAGTGTCTGCCAGGTTGATAGTCACCATTAGGCACAGTCAATGGCTTTTCATTTGTATTAGTGTTACTTACACATTGGACTGCAAGGGAGAGTAGGAGAGAGTCCAGTGTTCTCAGCACTTCCTCCCAGCCTTCTTCAACATTCTGAACTCTCCAGTCCTATGGGGCAGGGATCAGAGGGCCAGCTGGCCACTGGCTTCACAATAGCCAGTGTCTCTTACTGGTGGGGTAGTGGAATTTTGCTAGTTTAGCCCTCTTAGCACACAGTATTATCCCCCCATCCTGGTAACAGTAACTCTACCAGGCAGCCCATGTCCTTAGAAAAAGCACGCCTGCCTCATTCTAAACTAGAACCCTGGTTGGTTTAAGCCAATCGGTCCACTGCCTTGACCTTGTCACAGTGATTGGTTGAAATTTGAAGTCCTGGATCAAGGCAATTAGAAACAAAGGGATGTTTGCTGGGGCTTCTGAGAAATAAAAGCTTCCTGATTGAGAAAGCTACCAGGCTGAACATTTATGTACAACAGGGAAGATACAGAAGGTGCTGAAAATTATTTTGAAACTATAAAGGAATCCAGCTTTAGGATTAAGAAACATACCATTGCAGGCTAAGAAGAAAAATGGAAAGAAATTGCTTTTGATGACATAATTGAGCCACTTAATCAAGACTTTTCTAAAGCTTTGGATTATTTCTGGATTTTTTTGTAGCTATTTAAGAGTTGAAATTCTCTTTTTTTCAGTAAGCCAATTTTTAGCCAAATTTTCTCTGATTTGAAACCAAAAAATTTTAATACATATGAATGACAACTTTCAGTTTTTCAGGCTTATTATCTTATTCACTTTTTTTCCAGAAAAGCAAGTATAACAGTGGTCTGAAAGACCACAAGGGACTACTTACCAGTTTAGCCCAAATCTTAAGTTGAATAGAATTGGCTTGCATGAATTAGGGCCACAACATGACAGGGGACCCTTGAGAGTCTTTGAGACTAGCAAACTAGGCTCCAGTCAATTCTTTCTAAGATGGTCATAAAGCATGATTGTGAAGACATGATGAGATCTCTGCGTGACTGGGCCAAAAAGAAGTGGCCATCCTCACAAACAGATAACTTCATCCCAGCACAGTTCCACAGCCTCAAGTTCACATACATTTAACACATTTTCAAATGAATTAATACATGCCAGCTACTTAGAGAGACATATTCTTCTCTGAAACTTCTATGTTGCCTTTTTGTACAGGGACAACTGCCCTTGAAAAACTACAATGTTAGCACAAACAAAGGGAATTACAGGTTTTAATGCAAAACAATCTGCAACACGTATAATCACAGCTGGCTCGTGTTGAAGTGACAGCTTAGATCTGAGCCCTTGAACTTCTAGTTGTGAAGGATGGGCTCTTCCCAAATGCTGGATGTTTTAGATACAAGGATAGGAAAGGAGAAGACAACAGGGAAAGACTAGGGATTGAATCCCTAAAGAAGTTTTACCCAATGTGATAAAATGGGATAGTGTCATCTTTTGCTTAGTGTTAGGGCCAGATATGTGGGTGAATTACTTGTGTAATAACATAGGGCCTTGTGATCACAAGGGTCCCTTGCTTGACTTAATGGTGTCTTATAACCATCTTGAAATCTGAAATACTTTTTGAAGAGGGGCCTGCCATTTTCATTGTGCCTTGGGTCCATAATGATGTAGATAATCTTGCTTATTACAGATCTTTAGTTCTGTCTTTACTAAGATCACACAAGGGGAAAAAAATCTGCCAAAGATGTGCCTCAGATATTCTATGTTTCCTATCTTTTTCGATTATTTGTTCCTCCTTGTCTGTCTTCTTTGTGTTGAATAAATATTTTTACTGTGCCATTTAATTCTCTTCTTTATTTACTATCATTTTTTGTCCTGTGTTTGTAGTGGTTGTCCTAGGATTGAAATGTACATTTTATTTAATTTATTTATTTATTTGCACTTTATTAAATTCTTTTATTGGTACATTGTAGGTATACAACACAATTACATTTCTCATTGGGAATTGTACCTTTACATGATGCATCTTCGTTCTTATTTTTTTCCCATTCCTAGCCCTCCCTTCAACCCCTCCACCCTTCCCTATTGACAAAGACTTTATTTCCATTTTTTCCATTTCTCAGCACTTTTCCTTTCGCTTCTTTCCTTTCCCCTGCCCCTCCCACTACCCCTACCCCTTTGGGTCTTTTCTTCCTATTTTGCATTATCGATTATTCATTCTAATTGGTACATTTTAGGTGTACAATATAATGACATTCATCCTTGGAAATTTGCACCTTTACATAGTCTCTCTTGGTTCTTATTTTTCACCCTTGCCCAGCCCTCCCTTCAACCCCTCCATTCCTCCCTATTTACAAAGATTTTGTTCCTATTTTTCCATTTTCTCATATTAATCCCATTCCCTTCTATCGTTTCCCCTAGCCCTCCCACTTCCTTCCCCTTTGCCCCTTTTCTTCCTATTTCACATGACCTATTATACATAAATAGGACACACATGTATAAATACCAAATAGTTTCTCTGGTATGAGAAACTGAAAGTGTAAATAAGGACTAAAATGAAATGTATATTTTAATGCATCATAATCTTCTTCTGATTAATTTTATTATGAAAAATAGAATCTTTGCTCCAATATAATTCTATTCCCTCTTTTCTCGATGCTATTCTTGTCATATACATTATATCTTCGTATGTTACAGACCCAACAATACAGTGTTAAAAGTATTTTTCATATTACCTTATCTTTTAAAGAAGTTGGAGAAAATGAGAAAAAATATACTTATGCACTATTTTATACTAACTCAGATATCATTTGGAGCTCTTTTCTTTCTGTGGCTTTGTCACCTCATGGTATCACTTCTGAAGGACTTCCTTCCTTCCGTATGTCTTGCAAGACAGGCCTTCTAGCATCCCATTTACTCCCCCTCTGTTTACCTGTGAATGTCTTTATTTTGCCCTCATTTTTGAAGGCACAGTTTTTGAAGAATAGTTTTATTAGATACAGCATTCTTGTTTGGCAGTTCCTTCCTCCTTCACTAAGGATGTGTCACTCTTCTGCCTCCTGCTATCGTCGTTTTAGATCAGAGGCCAGTGTAATTGTACTGATGTTCACCTATCTACGGTGAGTCACTTTTCTCATGTTACTTTCAAGATTTTCTCTTTGGGTGTGGTTTTCAGCAGTTTGACTACAACATGTCAAACTGTGGATCTATTTGTATTTGGGTTTCTTTAAGTTTCTTAGATATGTAGCTTTTTTTTTTAAACACACACAAGTTTCAGTGGTTTGGGGGCACTATTTTTCAGAAAAAAGTTTGTTCCTTTCTTTTCTTTCCTTTTGAGATTCTCACCTCAGATGCTTGATTTTGTCCCACAGGTTTCTGAGGCACTGCTTATTTTAGTTCAGTCTTTTTTGCTCTATTTTTTTTAGATTCACTGACTACTATTCTTTCTCAAACTTGTTGTCAAGCCTTCTACTGAATCTTTTATTATACTTACTATACTCTTCTGCTACAGAATTTCCTTTTGGTACTTTTTAACAATTTCTATCTCCTTATTAAGGAGCTCTGTTGATGCATTGTTATCTCACTTTCCTTTAGTTCTTTAAACATGATTTGCTATAGTTCTTCAAACATATTTATAGTAGCTGCTTTGGAACATTTGTCTGCTAATATCTGGTAACACTCAGTTTCTAACAACTGCTTTTTTTTCTTAAGTATGGGTCACACTTTCCTGTTTTATGGCATGTCTAGTAATCTTTTTTTAAATGAGACATTTTAGATCTTACATTGCAGCTACTCTGACTTGTGATATTCTTTCCCTAGATGGTGGGTTTTTTGGGGTTTTTTTGGTGTTTTTATTTGTAGCTTAACTGGCCAAACCCTATGAAATCTGTTATTCCTATGGTTACTAATGCTTCTACTAGGGTTAAAAAAATATTTTTGATTTTCTTTTTAAACCTAGCTTGTGAAAAGTTGCTTGTGTGTCTGTATAGCTTAGTGGTCAGCTCATGATTGTACCTCAGCTGTGCCCCACCCATCGAACCACTTAGATTTCCAACCTTTACTGCTAGATCTGTTGGCGGACAGAGGACCATGTTCAAATTCAGGCTGTTTTCAAAGCCTCTTTGTGTTTTGGTTTCTGCTGGACTCTCCTGGGTCTCCTATGCACATGTCCTCAGCCTTGAATTCTCCAGCAGGAAACGGAGGTTAGTGTTTTCTTTCATTTTTCCCTCTACTTCTACACAGCCTCAGCCAATAGATCCCTCATCATAACTGCAGCCTCAGGGTGGGGGCAGCTGATGACCCTCCCATCTCACTCACTTCCAAGATGGATTTTACAACTCATGTCTTTGCTGGGTATGCACATTGCCTCTTTCCACTGAGTGAGGTCCTTCCCACGCCTGCAGAGAAACTCTGGTCATCATATCTTGCCTCTCCTTGCCAGAACCCATAAGCTGGGCAACGTGGCTGAAAGAAGCGCTAGACCAGAGTATCTCAGACTCTACTGTTCCTGTGAGGAGCTCAGCAGTTTTGAAAGTGCAGACATTTCTTATATTGCTATATGCCATGCTGATTTTCACAGCATGAAATAGTTGCTGTTGTCAATTTTTTACAGCTTCGTAGTTGCATTTGGATGACAGACTTCATCTCTCACAGAGCCATAGCTAATAG